CTTTTGCTAATATGGAGATTTGTGTTCGAAATACCTTTATTGACATCAAACATTTGTCAATAAGAAACATCAAAGTCCAAAAAGAATTAAAGTTATAAACCCAGGTCGGACAAGTTTACAATTAGACAAATTTCACAGTTTAACAAAAGAGCACCAAGGAAAGATTGTAAAAAGAAGCAATAAGAAGAGAACATTCAACCTAGGACACAGGCAAGAAAGCAAGGGGAGAGCCTTGGACAGGCCTGGCAAGGCATGAACAGAGGACTTACACAACAATCACAAGGTTTCAACAATGACGGTGTCAGTATTCAATTGAATGATTTTAAGGTTTTTCAAAGGAGAAGTTTGGCAACACTGCATGAGGAAAGTTGAGGGAAATGTTGAATACAAAGTTCACCACATTAGGGTTCCTATTGCTCCTGGGTGAAGGCATCAGCTTAGCCCCACAAATACATGTAGGGCTGTGGTGGTGACAGATAAGAGACAGATTGTAAAAGGGAGCCACCACAGCCCTACTTCAAGGCATGTCTTAAATGCCTGAAATCCAAACCGCAGGATTGTCACAAACTTTGAATCCTAATATCTTCCGAAATGAGAGTGACTCGACAATTTTTTTTTTTTTTTTTTTTTATTTTAGAAAGATTTAGGGTGCTCGTATGAGAGTCCAAACTCTGAGAAATACGCCAGTGTAAGTAAATATGTTGAGTCATTCTCACTTCGGAAGATGGATTCAAAGTTTGTGACAATCCTGCAGTTTAGATTTCAGGCATTTAAGACATGCCTTAAAGTAGGGCTATGGTTGCGACAGATAAGAGACAGATTGTAAAAGAGAGCCACAGCAGCCCTATTTGTGGGGCTGGCATCAGCTGTGCCAGGGGTGTGGGCCACATTCACTGGAGCGATGGCACTGTGTAACCATGGAGGTAGAATCATGGTGTAACTGACACAGTTGTTTCATCACATCACCCTTTCTACAGAAAAGAAGCACACAATTTCATAACAAGCTGCTACAATACCTGGCATTTGTGCTGCAAACTATGTTCGTCAATCAAGCTGGCACTTAACTGATTATATTAAGAAATGTTTGCAGGATACTGTACATGTATTACCACAACAGCAGCGTCCAGGCGTCTTGCTACTCAGGTAATCCTCGCTATGGAAACGATTTGTGAAGAACGCCCTCAATTGGTAAACTTCCGCATTTTATTTCCTGCTAGCAGTGCGCGGTTGCAACTGAATATCGCCCTCTAGATAGACGGCAGTATACCGCATAGCATAGTGCGTTGTGCGCGCTAATATTGGAGCGAAATTCAACATTAGGTTAGTGGAGTGCAATATGTATATGTGTACGTGTAGCGCGGCAACAGCTTGACCTTTGGAAGTCTGTCGATTTCACAGTTGCCTTAAAATCTGCAAATGGCCAACTTGGTTGACATCATTGAATTTGTTAGACCACATACCAAGGATAAAAATTTGTACGTGACAGGAGTCTCCAACAGATTACCTGAAGAGAAAGTAACAGTAAGCATTTATATGCTCTACCAGTCAACGTTTGATTCGCAAACAATGGTCGAGTTCGGGTGGTCCGTTCTTGACACAGGTTTCTTGTTCTCGCGCTCGAACGGCGGGAACGCGACTCAAGAACACTGTTCTCGGAACAGGATCACACACCCCCTCCTCGTAAAGATTTTACACAAACACACAGAAAAACTCGTGAGATTTGATTTTTGAACAGCCGCAAAAAGTACCGATATGGCCTTACAAAGCTGAAGACAATGGAAAATTTTTGCAAAATTAACATTATAATTTTCCAAGACAAAAATGAATTTTTTAAATGGAAAAGAAGTAAGCCAAGTTATCCAACATTAACTCTCGAAGAATGCACAAGGACGCTGCCATGTTGCATGTTGCTTGCCACAAATAACTACTAGCGCTGAGAACCGGTTGTACATTCCTGGCGTTCGAGCAACCGACCTACGAACAACAAATCGAGCTGTTCGTGAACAAATGAGAACAAGCCGCCCGAACTCAGCCAATACGGCCGTTTCACAAGAGTTTCACAACACGCTGGCCAATCACAAAGCGCGAAATTTGTCGACCCAATGCGCATTTGGAAAAGGTCGACAAATTTTGCGCGTTATGATTGGTTAAAGTGTTGCAAACTCTTGGTGTGGCGCACTGTTGTGAATCGCCTGTATTGTGGCAGTGTCATCGGTGGCATAGCTTTTTTACCAGTGGGGGCACTAAGGGGACACCAGCATCTTATGGGGGCACCAGCTTTCAGTTGTGGGGTTTTTGGGGGCAAGTTTTCGTTGGCCTTGTTCAATATCCATTCATCCATTTTTTTAGTGGGGGGGCACGGGGTCACCGGGAATTTGTGGGAGGGGGACGTGCCCCCCCCCCAGTGTGTGCTGAACTATCGGTCGACTCGGACTTGTGGGCAATTCCATTGAAAGGTGGACATGACACTAAAATTTCAAGTTTATCCCACTGCAAAGAAAGTAGTTTATGTTTTACGCATAGGCCTATGTTGAAGTTAAAGAAACAAAAGAATTACATCAATCAGTCCAATATTTTGTAAAATACAGTTATAAATGCTGACGAGATTTCTTTATCATACCTTGACACTGTAAGCAAGATGTTTTCCAAAATAAACACTGTCATCAGTTAAAAAAAGTCATCAAAAAGTGTAACGCGAGTTACCACCACGTAACACGAGTTACCGACTACAAATGCAAGGTTCCACCAGTATGAGCAGTGCTAGACCCTTAACTGGGCTAGGGTGTGCTGAACACAATCAGATGCAATGTTATGCAGACTGTGAGGCCTTGAAACAACAGGGCAGCCTAAATGAACTCTGCATATTGCTCAATATCATGCTGATATTGTGCAAGTTTTTGTCCATCCAATAAAACCAAAAGTTTATCCAGCAAGAAGATAAAAGAGAGTAAGTGTATTTTATTAATTTTTACTCATGTGTATAATCATTGAAACAAAAGAAAAGACTGAAATACTTACAGTAGTCCTACTGTCCTAGGCCTACATGTATGTCAAATAGATGTCAATGGTACATGTACAAGTGTACTTTTCCTGTTATTGGACTTCAGACCTAAATATTTTGTAGTGACTTCACTGCGCTCTGCAAGCAATGTTTTTTCAATCCTACATGCTAATTATGCTCACACAACCATGTAAATTAACACTCTGAACTGCAAGGTATGAATGTGTGCTACCATTAAGCTACATGTAGCTCCATGGTGCTACATACATGTAGGATGCCACATGTGGCATCCCCCCATACAAAAGACATTAGGTCTATACAATGCCAGAGCTGTACTTAGGACTTACACCTTAATTTGTTACAACTGTGAATGAATGAAGTTAAATAATGATTTTGAAAGATTTAATGAAATTAATATGGTTTTTATATTCGACTTTTAAGTTCAACTTGCTTCAATTTTTGCAAACATAAACTGAACCTCGGGTGGAATTTAAAAAAATAAAACTGAAATGTACTGTGAAGATATTTTGTTTTATTTCCCACAGAAAGACAACATGCCTCTAACATCTGCTGAGAAGCAAAAAGATATAGACTATGCCTTATGCCAAAAAGCTACTGGCCAGTAAGATGAGTTCAAAGCACTCAAGGCAGTAGCTTCCAAGAATGGTCATGACATCTTTTTGTGACAAAGGTTTATCAATAACATAATCGTTCTAGATATATTCATTTTACTAAATTTACAAAAGTGTGCATCTGTAAAAATACTTAATACAAGATGCAAAGCTATCCAAAGAGGTAACTGCCCTCGATTTGTGCTAGGCTGTTTGAATGGACATAATATAACGTGAGTTACCGATATGTATAAGCTCCCTGCGTTTTACCTGTACATTGTTTCTCAACTTTGATATTGTTAACTTAACCCATTGTCAATTCAATGTAGGAAGAGTTTTATCCAGATTGCCTAGTGTGAGGAGACTTTACGAAAAGAGGCTTTCACAATATTGACCATGTCCTTTTTTTGTAACGCAATATTGTAACGCGATACCGAAATTAAACGCTTCAAGTAGGCCTAGATTCAAGAATTTTAAAATGAAATGTCCTTAGTTTTTCTTTTTTAATTCATTTAGTTGGTCTCTGTCTACTCTACCCTCAGTGAAAAAAGAAACTTGTAGTTCCCACAAATTACAGAGATATAGCACATTACCCAGTAAATGTACCCATTATTTGTAACCCGAGTTACCATGGAATTGCCCTTGTATCAAATCTGGGACTTTCACTAACCACATTGCCACTTCGCCCCATTTCCACTTTGCCCCCGTCGGTGCTTTGACTCCCAAAAAATGGGGAGCTCGATTGGAAAGGGGTTCCTGAAAGGGCATACATGTACACATGTATGAAACAACTACATGTAAAGCATTCACTCACTGGTGGCTACATTGGTGAAATGAATAGTTGGACTTGTGTTGGGTTTATTTTTATTTTCCATATCAAAAGGATACAGAATTAAGTGAAGCTGCGAATTTACGTGAAGTTTCATAACTCATGCTGGGGTACCCCAAGTTGTTGACGGTGTTTTCGTATCTGGTTGAATGAATGAATGAAACAAAAATGGGGCAAGCAGAAATGGGGCGAAGTGGTTGGGGCGAAATGGAAACGGGGCAAAGTGACCGACACTCCACATAGCTTCAGTCTTTGGAAAGAGCTCCATTCTTAGACAGCACTTGACACTCTGTGCACAAACCCTATGAAACTGGTTTGAAAAATTGGAAGTGTTTTCTGTTATTAAGTAAATGTACCGGTATGTACACGTACTTCGATACATTCCCTGCTGAGTTTGACTTTTTAGGACATGCTGTCATTTTCTGATGTCTGATATGTCCTTTAGGGAAACAATTGTTCAGTGAGAAAATTCTTCCATAATTTTTCTTTGGCAGGCAAAGCTCCATCAAGTGTTCTCCCAATTTGGTCTGCTGTATGAAGTCCAGGTTCTTGGGAGTGGCAGTCAACCTTTGACCTCTGATGATCGCTACCTGTCTGAGCATGGTCATGTGACTGTATGCAGTAATTTTAGACAAGGATTGTATGCCTTTGTCAAATACTACTCTGCTCTAGCTGCCAGCAGAGCAGTGGATGCAATTAATGGAAAGTATATGTTGGATGGTCGTCTCCTTAAGGTAAACATGTGCTGTATTGAAAATTCCAGTGTACATGTACACAGTTATCCAGTTTCAATTCTGACATTAAATATAAAAATTAAGGCATCAGAAACGTTGATAAGTTTTGTTTATAACTCATTCAGTTTAGAAAGTCTTTGTAAGAAATCAAAACTAAACTTACATTTAATTCACGAGTGTTTCATTTATTTTGATATTTTAGGTGAGGTTTGCCAACAGACAGAAACCAATTGAGAACAATGCCCAACTTGGATTCCAGCAGTGTTGTGAGCTTGCCAATCATCACTTTGGTTTCAATGGCTGGACAAGCCAAATAGTAGCTGTAAGTTTCAACAAAAAGAGTTCCTTATTGCACTAAAGAATGCAATAATATGCAAGGCATATTCAAATATGAGCACTGTTTACAAGTAATGTATTGGGCTCTGATTGTCTACAAGCATTCCAGCCCTCCAATTGACAACAAGAGGTTTAGAATAAGGTATGTTAGGTAATTAAATTCAAACCTTTGCATTCGTGCAGCATCTCAACCCAATATGACATTGTTACTATGCTAAGGATTGAAGAGCCATCCCTCACACAATGAGTCCATTGCTCAGTGCATCCGAGAGTACAGTATACTCAAGGATTATCCAAGAATACAAAACGTAATGTGGACTAGATTTGGGCCAGGTTAACAGCCAGTGAACACTTTTCATAAACCATAAATAAATGACAATATGCCACCATTTTCCTGTGTCTCACATTTATTTAGTTGAAGGAGGACAAAAATTGTGAAGCTAATGTCGCCCGCTTTATTGCTGTGGTGAGATTGGACATCAGGCAACATGACATGCATAGTGAAGGAGTAGGGGTCGGAGAGGTGGCTTTCACCACGCAAGGTTAGATGACATTTGGTGAAAGATAAAGAATACCTACGTCAAGCTTTTAGAAAAAACTGTTAAACCTAGTCTTTTACATTCATTTACTTTTAAGATACAAGTGAAAAAACATACTTAAAAAAATTTTTCAAAAACACATTTTCCCCACTGTAGACCCTATGAGTAGAATCACTGCATACCTCAGAGCCAAGAAAATTGCCTTCCAGAGGGCAAGCGAGGGCGCCTTCAGAAAACTGATCATTGTTGTCTTACCTAATGGTAAAACTGCTGTGGAAGTCAACTGTACTGCTATTGAAGCTCAACATTATGTTACACAGGAGGAACTAAAGGGCACGGTAAAAGTGAGTTCATATCAAAGTAATTATACACTCTGTCACTAAAGATTTGGGGGGAGGGGTACCACCCTCAAGCCAATGGTACACCACTGCAACTGTAAGTTTTTTTGGACCGATTACCAGTGCCTCCATTTGTCCCCCTTCAAAATATTGCATTTTTCTTTAAGGAAATAAAAGTGTCAGTAACTTCACAAAAAATGCAAGAATAGATAACTTTTGGAGGAACGTGGTTGCTTGAATTAACCAAGTTACCTTGATAACCATAAACCAGTCATTACAAGACTAAAATAACAAAGATTTGTGATTTCAGATTTATTACCAAATTCAGGTAAACTGTATTGAGCAATGTTTCTTAAGTGAATATCTGTTATCATGGTAATTGTTTCATTTTGCTATCATCGTATGAATAAAATCAGAAATCACTATTTATGACAGGTGACACAAGTTGAAGACCCTGCTGAGGTTAATAATCCAGAGGTGAACTCAGAAGTTACTGATGAATCCCAAGATACATTGGATCTTGACTACGTCAATGTGCAGCTGTTAGTTGATTTACAGATGGATATGTAGCATGATAATTATTGGAACAGAGAAAAGCAGATTAGTTGAAAGGTATGGCTCACCATTCACCAACCTTCAGAAACTTTAATTTAATTTTTCATGTAGATACAGTGTATTATAGGTCTGTGTACTATACATTAAGTACTACATGTATACATCTGCTTTCCCCATTAGCATTTTCTTAGCATTGTGTCGTATAGTCCTTGCCTTCAGTGGGCCCTTTCATTGGAAATCGGGGCCTCCACTTCCAATAAAAAGAAACGAAACAGTTTTCGGCTTGGAGTATGTTTTACAATAAAGACACAGTAGATTCATATGTCACAAAAAGTATAGGGTTGAGTCTGTTTATTGGCGAGCTGTGAAGCAAATGCAAGTCTTTTGTCCATCTGTCTGTTGAGCCGGCTGTCCACTCAATGTTAAAAGTTTTTACTAGTGGGTATAGCATGTATCATTTGTGCTTATTTATTTCAATCTTGGGTTTATTAGTATCATATTTTGGTGGGCTCATTGTTATTTACATACATGTACATATTTGATGAATAAATTAAACCCAAAATGTTGAAGTTACATGTACGTGCACACGTAATGTATGCTTATGTGTATGTGTGTACATCTGAATAATGTACACCCCTGTAGTGTACGCACACGTCAATTGCAATGTGTGCCACACATGTAAAGGGAGACTGGTGGGGATGATTTGGTAAGGGGAAAGAGTAGATAGGATGATGGGATTGGGTTGGGGCAGGAGATGGATGGGATGATAGGATGGGGGAGTAGAGGGTGGCTGGGATAATGGCGTGGAGGTGGAGTCAGAGATAGATGATGGGATGGGGGAAGCAGAGATAAATGGGATGGTTGAGTAGAAGATGGCTGGGATAATGGCGTGGAGGCGGAGTCAGAGATAGATGATGGGATGGGGGAAGCAGAGATAAATGGGATGGTTGAGTAGAAGATGGCTGGGATAATGGCAGTGGAGGCGGAGTCAGAGATAGATGATGGGATGAGGGAAGCAGAGATAAATGGGATGGTTGAGTAGGATATGGCTGGGATAATGGCGTGGAGGTGGAGAGGAGATTGTTGAGATGATTGGATGGGGGAGTAGGAGATGGTGTCAGAAATTCATATGAAGCAGCAAGCCATGGTAGCTTTGTCGTTCTAGTTTTAGTTTGATATCAAGAGAGAATAAGTTGACTAAGTCTGGTCGAAAAGACCGATTTGCTGAAGACATTACTGCCGTGTCCTTGTCACTCAGGCGCGCATTCCTAAGGTTGACGAGCGCGTGATTTTGGTTAGTGTACTCCCATTGGCTGATGAGGAACCATGTGCATCTCGTTTGCTAACGCATGTGGGGACGCCGCAGTAATGGCTCCTGATTCATTCTTGTCACCGTATTGGTCTATAAGGCGGTTCCGAATTACCGCATGTTTGCTGTACTAGAAAATAGGGCAAGGGTCATTTGTACATAAAATAAATTGCTTCATCGTGCGTGAGGGCGCCTTTCTGTGACATGCGTTTGTGTAGTGAATGTCAAGTGCGCAATTCAGTTAGAGCTGCAATTTTTATCAATTCTTTTCAAGTCTTGGGGAAGTCTTTCAATTGATGAAATTCGTCTGTGGACCGTAGCCTGATTGAAAGAGTTTCAATGTTCCACATGCTGTAGTTGGATTATTAAATCAACACTTAATTGAACCTTGATTTATATGAAATTACCTGATACGTGTGGTGTCAACTCGAAATTTCAGGTTTCTTTTTTTTTCAGTTTCATTCTATCTTAAAGATACTGCTTCCCGTGAAGATTTCCTGGAGTGAGTTCATATACAAATGTCACTTGACACCCTGTGCACAAACCCTATAAGCTGGTCTAAAAAATTCTAAGCGTTTTCTGAGAAAATGCTTCGATTTTCTCACTGCTAAATTTGACTTTTTAGGACATAAGATTGCTTTCTGAGGGCTAACAAGGCCTGGCGGGGGAAATTAGTGGTATTTTCATATGGAAATCTTACCAATTTCCTTTTCGTTAAAGTTATAGAAAAGTATTGTGAATTACATTTGGACACTATTCAGTATTATTTCTTAAATGACTGTACGGGATTGCAGGTTACCAGAATGTTCATTCTGTTCTTGGTTCTTCCTTATTTCATCTTCAGCATCTTTCTTATTTCTGCAATTTCTTAAACGATCGCCTGTATCAACAGCTACCCAGTAAATGAATCAATTCGTTTTATGTACAAATGATCTTTGTACAAATATCATTGCTGGCATTAAAAATAAATTAGTTGATAATAGAGGTCATTGGAGCAAATCTATATATAAGCCTATTTTTAGTGCAGTGCCTTGTTGGCAACACTTGTGATCAGAGTGGAAATGAAATACATGTGTTGTCTTCCAGTAAGGTCAGACTGCTCACATGTACACGAAGAAATGAAAACATCCATGTGTATGTTTGGCTCAGTTTGGTTAGTTTTCTCAGTTTAGAGAACAAAAAGGAAGTTTCTCGGTTTTATTGAACAGTGTAATCCTTTGATGCCTGAAATTAAAACCAAACTTTCATTGAACGGGACAGTACCTAACTTTGCCTATTACAGTTAGAGGGAAACCTTCGCAACGATAGTAATCACAACGGAAACCTTTGCTCAAGTTTATTTTTTAAACAGCTTCCTTATTTTGCAAAGCACTTGTAGAAGCTCTTGTAGTAAAGACGTGTTTATGTGTAAAATGCCATGCGTATTATATAACCCTGAAGAGCAATTCTGAAAAAAAGAATACTGCCGCAGAAAGACAGGAACATGCCAAATCAATAATACATGTAGTCAACATTTTCTGTACTTTAATAATTAGTTTTGTTGCACGACGCCGTCTTAAATTATCTTCAGGAACTTCCTCTTTCTCTCCACCTATTTTATGGACACACTAGTACACATGAAATGTATCGCCTAACACGGAAATTTCCAGCTACACATAAACAGTTGGAAGGTTTCGAGTTTTGTTTGCTCATCCTACAGTTGGCCTATTTAAAAGGCGCATTTCGTTGACAGTGCTAGATTCCTTGCAGCATTGGTCGTGTACAATATATCGCTAGATTTACAAGCAGTTCGTCATTATGGATGATATAGGGGATGAAAGTCTGCTGAGAAGCCCCGCTTGGCCTAAGGGTTTGGTGCTATCATGGACTCTTCTGGGAATATTCAAGGGCGACGAAATTGATGCGACCAAACAATGCTTGCTGTGCAATCCAGATAAAATCCGCGAGGACAAATTGGGTGAGTGTTCACGATATTAAGGTACATGATCTGCTGTGCCAATATAGTGTTAGGCCTAGTATAGGTTCTGCAGCTACGGTACCGCGTGCATGATTTTCCTGAAATATGTTCTTGAGTTGTACATCAGGTAAAACAGAATGGAACCACGGAGCCGTTCATTGAGATAGGATGGCTATGGGATTTTTCACCCTCAAGCATTGTTCAGCCGATGTGAATTTGTTTCAGGAATTTGTATCTATGTTTTCTACATTGACCAATTAGTACTTGGTGTTTTTATTGGCAAATGCAGGTACCCATTTTCATTCTTTTCACGGATCTCTTAGCTTGATTTAAAAAGGGCTCAAGTAGTTGCTGTATAAGAATTTGAACCCTATCCCCGTGCGAAAAGTATCAGGGTCGGGGGGGGGGCGGTGTCAAGCCTTAGATATTTGTATGCACGATTGTTACGGACAGGTGGACACACTGGTAAAGCGCTACAGTGTTACAGGTGTACAAATATCAACACATAAGACTTTATTTTTTGTGTTTTATTATTATTTCATTTATTTTTTCTTTATAAAAATGATTGATTCGTGTAAAGCACCGAATGTGTCAAAGCCTGGGCGTCCATCGGTGGGGGACGGGGGACATATCCTCCCACTTTCAGGGGGGGTAGCATACTGTTTGTCTATACACCCCTCTTTGCCAGCCCCTTAATAAAAAAACACATAGGGGCATTAGGCCTTCATTTATCATTATTATTTATTTGACCTCAGCAACAAAACGGACATCCAAAAAAAAAAAAAAACCACAGCAAAACCCAACCAGAAAAAAGCATAAAAAAAACTGTACAAGGTAAACATACATATATAAGGCGCATATACAGGGTAAACAGGCAATATGCACAGGAAAAGATTAGGTGAGGGCAACTAGATGGGGTGTGATAAGAATGAGACGAAGCTTGATGTATGAGAGAGGCACACAGGTATGTGAACCTGGAAATGATCACTTACACCCCTCCCTTTCAGAAGAAAAGACAGAACAAAACGAGAAGGCCTATTCTGCGGGTTAGAGAAGACAAAAGTAAATTTAATTACTGTTGCTCGGAAGCAAGTCATCCCGCACATAGTATAGGAGAGAACAAAACAAAAAAACAGCGTGGGAACAGGGAGAGAGGATTTGATTCATATTTCCGATTAGCTGATTAATGACTCCAAAATTTAAAATTCACTCTTCTGATTTAAGTGAAGGAAATACGTCACACGGGTCTCAGCTGACGACGCGTAAAGCATTGCGGGAAAATTTCTGCCCGGCGCGCGAGCTCGCTAATTGCGTTACACGTAAACAAGCGGCAGTTATCAATTCAATTTTTTCTTTTTCTTCCTCATTGCTGAAAATATTCTCACCACACTTGATTCGTTCATCCAAAACTGATCAGGATAACCAATGATTTGAAACATGTCGACGAAAGACACGTGATCAATGATACTTAGAAGATAAATTACCTGTACCACACTGCGATTGTTGGGCGATGTTTTTACCATATAGCCCAAATTTAAGATAGAAAAATTTGAATGTTGATTCACATACACCGTTTGGTGTTTGGTGCGGTGAATTTATAAGTCAGGAAACTTGAAGCTTAAAACAGATTTATTTACATCTGACGGAGGTTTCTTCTTACACAAAGCGTAAATTTTGGTTGGTTAAGGTTGTCGTGTTAAAAAAAGCTAAATTTTGACAATGCATCCATATAAATGTAGTAATCCGTACTGTGAAATGTGTAATTTCTAACCCGGCGCATGATCTTGATCAACACGGGGTTAGTTGTATTAATGACTGTGATGTGGGGGATGAATCCAACAGCGCATGCGCATGCTTCGTTAACAGCTGCACACAAGGACGCACAATACATGTACACCCAAGCAATACGCGTTTGTACGCAGTACATGTACGCATTAGATTATGTTCTCGTGATGTCATGGTTCGAAAGGAAAGTAGTCTAAGTTTAGGGTGACTGTTTGCACATTTCCCGATAAACAATTTGTTACACGTCGTGTTTAGCAATAATCCTGAAAATGGTAAGTATAAAATAGCTCAATTTGGTTTCAAGGTATGGCCCATAATTGTAGGTGGAATTAGGAAAGTTGACTTGTCCAAGGGGACGTCTTCAGCCCGGGTGAAGTCGATGACCTCTAGAATATGTCAGTCTTAATGTAGTAAAGACCGACGTCCCAACTGAATTAGGTGGTGGTATATTATTTCTAAAATACTGGAACATTCGAAATAAAGGATAACAAGTGACATGCTTCCAAGTGGCATTTTACCCCCCACCCCCGGGGGTGTGCCACTGGACAATATGCAGTAAAACACCTGCTGGACGAAGCCCTAACGATAAGACTATTAGAATCCAAGGGAGGCATGCTGAAGACAGAAAATAACTGAGAGTAGGAAGTTCCAGTGGACAAACCAGCTATGTACGTGGCAGCCTCAATGAGCCATATCTTCAGATTAAATTCAGCTAGACCTACCATTTGCACAGGATTATTGCCAAAAAAATCCCTGTTCATCAACACTAGATAAGGCAAATTGTCTGGAATTCCAGGAAGTAAAAAAAATTGCCTTTGGTTTAAGTAATAACCTTTATATTTCGTGTCATTTTTATTGAAGCAGATTGAGCGTAAAAATTACCCTTCGTAAAAGTTTTATTAAAGGCTTCCAAACATTTTGCCCAATGCTTGAGTAAAATCTAGCACAGCATGTGCGTAAACGCTTTAAAAAGGGGATGGGCGCAAATTATTTTTAAACAGTTTTTGGAGTAAGAAATTTCGAAACTTTCTTGGGGTAAAATAACTAAACAGGCAAAGAGTAAGCTTGTACAAATCATCTGTTGTGTTAAGTTTACCCTTTTAACAACCATGTTCCCTTCTTACTGTCACAAAAGAGTAAATTTTTACGCAATGTTGACTAATGTTTTCTTAGAGTGTAAAAAAATAAAAACTTTCAAGAAAGACCTTGTCTCAGATCGCACCACAGGTCATCTGGAATCCAAAACATTCAGGGGCTCTCAAGCGCCATTAGGGATTCGTGCTCGCATAATTAGACCTACAACATAATAACGTAATGCCGTGTTTACCGCGGTGCACTGTGGGTGAAAGGTGGGGATATTGCAGGAACGCGTCGATGTGACACGTTATGTGTAACATTTATTATGGCGGGTGTATCGACCTGACACGAAAAAAAAGAACGAAAATTCCCGATTATCGTCCGAAATGGTCCATGTGAACTGCTGTGTTCCATTATGTTTCCCAAGCACTCAACGAACGCCAGAGCTGCGTTTTTTAAACTTCCACGGGACCGCAAAAGGCGACAGATTTGGATAATTTCGTAAGAAATAAGGCCATCAAAGCGAAGTCCAAGTGTACCTCTGTATGCAGTCTACATTTTGTAGGCGGAGACAAAACTTACGATCAGGATTTTTTATATTGTCCCCCCCCCCTCCTTTTGAAAAATGATGATGCCCATGCGTCATAGGTTGATACACAAGGCGCTTGCTTCACAAAAAATACAATTCAAACTAATTAAATATGACTTGTAAAGACATCAAAGATTATTTTAAATATAAACATCTCGGCATCTATTATTATGCAAAATTTAATGGTTGTATATAATTAAAAATATTTAAAAGCTAAACTCGCATAGGTTTGCATTAATCAGATTATCAGAAAGGGTATTATTGATCAAGGCGGACATTATCCATGTAGGATCGATATTAATTATTCAGGTTGATAGCTGACAAAACAAAACAGACAATAAAACAAGAGGTACACGGATAGACATGCTGATGGACAAACTGACAAACGTCACACAATGCAAACAGCCACGACAAAGAACGGTTATGGATTTAGAGGTGGGTGCACCACGTATGCCCCCTTTCCTAACTGCCTAAACTTAGCTTCATTGCGTTAACGTTGTGACTATGTACTAAGGGCTTCCAACTGTTCGGTCGCATTTGACCCTTAAAGTCCCCCCCCCCTTTTTGATCCACCCCTTGGGAATTATATCGACAGACTGATAGCGACTGACATCATTAATAGGCAAAGATAGTCAAAATCGTTTGGCGATAATAATAATCTACTCAAAGGAAGATAACGGAAGTTACAAGGTCAAGTGAAGGGGAGAATTACATGCCCACTGGCAAGTTAGGGATAAACAATAGAAATAGTACAAAGTTACATTAGGTAAATTGTAAATTTAATTTATAGTTATAAAATATACAAAAGGATTTGCTCGGGTTCGTGTGTATGTGTGTCCATGGAGGATATATCCAGCAAGAAATGACACCAAGGGGTACCACCCCCCAACATGTCCAATTGCTATACACACTCTTGACCATTGTTATTTAACACTCCCCCCCCCATATCTGAACAGAATTCCTCAGATTCCAGTGAGACAATGACCAACAAAGCAGGGGGTTTCTCTCCATCTCATATTTAGCCTTGGTCAAGGCGTTGTCATTCGTCACAGCGCAAAAATGGAAAAGTGCATTAAAATCTTTACCAAAAATTATTCACGACGGCAAAAGTATTAAGTCTAATGTATTTTGTCTTTCTATTTCCTGGTCACTGCGAAAATTTGTAGTTAATTGCAAAGAAAACACCACAAATATTGCTACGATGTTACTGGCCCCACCTGTCCGGCTTAGCTGCAGGCAGTAATCAGGCATATTTGGAATGTTTACTATTGTTCGTGGTCTGACCGGGCGGAGATGATCATCGAGCACTTTGATGTGCCAGAGTTGTAACTCCTGTGTCCTTCCTCCACGGTGTGTCAGAGCAGTGGTGCGGTTGACTCCACCCCTGTCCCCACTGGATATGCACCTTGTTAGATACCTCATTTCAAATCGGTTTAGCTCCATTTACAATAAAGTTTAAGCTGTGAAATGCGTAGGAGCTTTTGTAGCTGTTACACAAACGTTTCTTGATGAATGTTTTGCTATGGAAACTATTTGATATTATTCAAGAAATACATCAGTCAGTAACCTAACATTTAAACACGAATATTATGAGAAAATCTACATGTTCCTTTACTTGGACAGACAAATGTGACAAAGATTTGGATGAAAACGCCAATCACTGTACAGAGGACGACATGATGACAATTGGAGAGAGACCTGGCCGTAGATGTGCTGTGTGCTTGAGCCTCTTATGGAATTCGGACAGTATGGTGGTCGGCGATTATTCCACTGCAGGTATGCACATCGAGCATGCATTTAAATAGTGGTTTCTTCTCAAGCTGTAACAGTGGGTTTGTGTGATAACTTCATATTTTCCTGTCGATCAATTGACTTAGTGGCTTTACCATGCAAATGGTGACTTGTTTGCGTCCAACAATGATTCGTAGAGTGCATTCCGTCGTAACATTTCCAGAGGATCTACGAATGGGTGTAGGTACCGATTATGTTCTTGTCGTTTTATGGGGAGGGGGCCGTCAGCGCAGAAAATGATCAAATTGTTCCTTGCCAAAGTCCACAGACAATTCAATATATTAAACATGTAGGCCTTTATTTGTTAAGATTTTGAAAAGCAGCTGCGATAAACAGAAGTCATAATTAACCATGAGGCGTTTGAGCAGGAAACATATTTTTTCTCTCTTTCTTCCCAGTTCCACGATGGCTGAAAAATCGTCTCTTTGGTATCCTGCCATTCTTGTTTGTTTTCCTGTTCCTGGTGTGTGGCGTAGGCACCATTGGTTGGTATCTGTACGAGTTCTGGGGCCAGCTTAGGGGCGTCACACACTTGGTGTCATTTCTGGCTTACAGTGTTATCCTTGTTGGAGTTGCCTTTGTTTGCATGGCCTCGTGGACCATGCATTACTTCAGTCGGTTACCAGGGAAAGCTGGTCATTGGTACAATATGCTTCATGTTGACTACGTCGCACGGCGACTGCGATGTTTATCTGGTAGCAAGCTTCGGTTACCAGCGTCGTTGTTTCTTACTTTCAGCATGGTATGGGCGGTTGTCAACGTTTTCTTTCAGGTCCTTAATGTTGTCCAATATCTCATTTCGACTGATAACTCAACATCGTCTTGCACAGAGGGGTTGAATAAAGAATCAGCAGGAAATCTCATCGAGTCACCTGATTATCATGGCTTCTTGTTAGTCAAGACCGTTTTGGGCGTGGTTACGGCTGTTCTTTGTCTACCATCATACGCATCGTTTTGGCATTATGTGCTGGTCATCCGTCAAGGTCTTACAGCTGAATTGAACCTTGTGTTGGTTTTTATCAAGCACAATGAGGGCAGATTAGACTGGTGTCGGCGCCGTATCGTTGAGATCCACCGTGAATTAGCAGTTCTCCGCCACGTCATGGCTGGCCTTATGCCTTTTATTGTCGCGTCTGGTGTTTTGGGTGTTACCGTTCACATTAGCTGGAATTACAACGTGTACAGTGACAACAAGAGGTGTTTGGCAGAGGAAAATCTGTTAATCAATATATTCATATTTAGTGAGAAGTTCATGGTCTTGATCTTGCCTCTCGTGGCGGTTGGTGGTCTTAATGTGGATCACATCTGGTTCCAATTTATGTACGCCCTCTCGCGACAGAAGAACACTGACCATGAGGAATTCTGGGACCGCCTGTTGCACTTCACAAAGGAGCTCGACCCAGAACATAACGGCATGGATATTACAGTCCTTCTATCTGTAGTCAGTTTATATCTTGGCCGCAATTTGACAGGACAACAAGTTAACTATTTCGGAGTTGGCGCATGAGTAATATGTGATATGTGAATTTAGTATTATCATCTAAAGCTTTTCAATTTGTTCTTTTCTATCTCCTTTGGGGTATTTCGTTAGCTATACTATTTTCACCTTTATGCAGTACTTTTATTAGCTCAGTAATAGTAATATAAAGCGAAAAAGTGGAGGTCATATACATGTAGTGTGTCAGAGAATACAGAAGATGTTTTGTGAAATGAAAACTGTGATATATATCCAAGGCGCTTTTAAAGAGATCGAAAAGCAAATGTACAGCTTGCGCTAGAACTCGAAGTACTTGAAGGTACTTTGGTCTGATTTAAAGTGTAGCCGCAATGAATTTATGTTAAAACGCCATTTTAGGGCAAGTTCAGTGTATGAAATTTATTTGATATCCCATTCAATTTCGTTTAAATGAATTGAAAAGTGCAAATTTTAAAGCAATAAAAATGCCCACGCTTTCCAAAACAACTTTGGGCGATGTCGCTGTAATGTAATCCAGGAACATGTTTCACTGCATAGGGTTTCTGTTCAAATAGTGAACCCAAACTTAACTCACAGTAAAAATTTCGGAGAACGGATTCATTCTTGCTTATTGCTGGTATTATCACAACAGTGAGTCACCAAAGAAAAAACTGAAGACAGAAAAATCTTGAAAATTCAGCAAGTTCGTGTATAAACCAGTGCAACATTGAGATTGTCTTCCAGTGATAACATCACAGTTATGCTCATGGATATGAAAATATATATTAGCTTAAATACCACCAGTGCAGCAAAATGCCCTTAAAACAGTGAAACAAAAATTGAAAACGGTGTTAACTGAGATGTGAAGGCGCATTTTTGAGGTTTGTATTAAAAACAATTTTTACATTGCAATAGGAGTAGCCTAATGATAATGCTTGGCCGCAGTGGCGTATTCAGCTAGTGGTGGGGGGAAGGTTTCCCCCTGACGGTTTTTTTTATCAAATATTAATAAAAAACATTTTATTGATCAAATATCAGCACCGAAACCCTTAAAAAACAGCACCACGAAATAAAAGCAGGAATTCGGGAACGTAAGGCCATTGATATTTTTCTCCCCCAACATCCTCTTGAGTAAGACCGAAGCTACATTTTGCTTTTGAGTTTGCCCCTCCCTCATCAAAACCTGAATACGCTGCTGCTTGGCCTGTTTTAAACAGATCAGGGAATTGATGTCTGTCTGATGTCCCGGGCCCATGGCAAGGATCAGTGTCCATTCTCCTGAGCCGCTCACTTTACCACCAAGTCAAAACAGGTTTTAAAAATCATACTTTCCATCAATTTTGTTCAACGATTTCACTTCATTTTTTCGAACCCTTTTAATCCATACTATGGTATGTACCTCTTGGGAGTAGTTCTGCATAAATACATGGATATTGGCTTGCGTATGGCTCGCACTGCATGGTGTGGTGTACAGCTACCCGATGCAATACCAACCGTCAAAGCCACATGGTGGCCTCTCGACCAGTAGAAATATGGTTGATAACATTGTGAACAAAATGCATCTATAGTTTATGTGGAATTTGTGGAATTTTTAATTCCAAGTCAAATCACAAGTCACAAGTGTCACATAGTCACTTTTGGTGACTCCTTCGGACAAATGCAAGTTGAATAACTGTGCCATACACAATCATAAATGAAAAAACCACCCGACTTTTGTTTCCTTTAAAAACTTTAATTAAATTAATTCCCCTTCATGAAAGACTTTTTTTAAGCTCAGTTTTCGATAAATTGCAAGGTCTCTTATCTCCGGTACAACTATATTGTTCGAATTATTCAAAACTGAAAACCTTCTACACCAACTTTCTTCATTTCAGACTATTGACAAAACACTTGTTCAAAGCCTTCATTCAGTTAGGTCCACTATTAATTACGGCGTGTTCAAATTCAGATGAACCTCCAACTTTTTCAACTCACAATATTTCGGTTTGCCGTCGCTTCAAGGCAATCTGTATTTCCAGTGCACTTTATGGTATTAACGTATGAATATTTCATCTATAAACACTGTTTTTCAGTTCCCCAGCTGGTGTATAATCTCAACTGGAAACAGTACATAAATGTCATTTCTCCAACGCCAAATTTAATATTCATAACTAGAAATATCTTTCCTTCACAATGCCCTCACTAATTGTCACTCACAACCTTTTGTGACTTTTCACCACTTCAGTATCAGTTGTGCAGGTAGTTGGAACACTCAATATCAATTAGCACTACACATTTCAATTCCTTTAGCGTCTTCCTATCGACTTTTCAATACAATTAACAATTTTCAAAATTCTTACTTTTGATATTACTTAAACGGTATTACCAGTTTACACTTCTCAATACATATGTCTTTTACAACCAAAAATCAAAGTTCCTCGTTAGAATCTGATTTTACACCACTTTTATATGGGACTTAATATTTACCATTTTCATAATGGCATAGCCTAATCTTCCAGCAGTTCATACTTTCAGTGTTTATGATGTCAATGCGCATCACATTCAAAGGTCAGATGATCCTGAGGCATACAAGTTCACAGGGTTTTGCTGAGGTCGATGCTTTCAGAGATCCACCATTGTACGTCACTCCGAGCTCCAAGTCTTGGCCACGACGGAATGGTAACTATAGGCCTCTTTTGACGATTGCCATGGGTCAGGTGAAACAGCAAAAGGATCGAAGTACCCTTTTTTCGTGAAATCCAGCTTCAAACCCAGTTGCTACGTGTCATCTACAATCAGTGTTATAAACCAAAATTGGACTTATTAAAGCAGTCTCTTTTGTCATTTCAATCCTTAAAAAATCGTTCATTTTATCTTAAACACCAGCGTTCACTTGCATGTCTGATATCCAATCAAACAAGCTATACCAAGACCATGAAAGAAATACTAGTCGGTGAAACTTTCAAGAGAATAACATTAGACAAGTTTAACTTACGATTAGAAGCCTTGCAAATAACTGCAGGTAGTTCGGAAGTCTGCTCGTCTCAGGGGTTGATTTAACTCGACAAGCTTTTCTTTTTCCAGATTTTGCCAACAGAGTTGAAAACAACATTTCACATGTTCAGGGGTCTGCAATATTAAACCATGGAGGAAGGACACAGAAGGAGTTACAACTCTGGCATGTCAAAGTGCTCCATGATCATCACCGCCAGGTCAGATAAACATTCCAAAAGTGCCTGATTACTGCCTGCTGCTTAGCTGAACAAGTGGGGCCAGTAATATTCTAGCAATATATTGGGAGTTTACTTTCCAATTAACTGCAACTTGTCGCAGTGACCGGGGAAATAGAAAGAAAATATCTAGCATTAGATTTACTTTTAATAAAGATTTTGATGCACTTTCCATTATCCATGCCATGTTTGTAATTTTATTTTGCCACTCCAAAACATCAGTTTTCAAAGTTTTCCATGAATTTGGCTAAGTCTGGCCAACGATATGTTGACCACCACTGGACAGTTAAGTTCACGAAAAACAAAATGCGCGGTTTCATCACAAGGAGTGGTCATGAAATCTCATAAAAATACCTTTATGTGTAAATTCAGCCATAAAAATGATTGAAATAAAATACAAGATCTCATAAGCAACTTGGCTATTTATTCCAAAAATAAGTCCAGAAGAAAGTGGCAATAACTGCACATAAAAACGGCACACAGCCCAATCCAAGCAATTGTGCAAGCATTAAATTTAAGTGTCAGATCATACCAAGCACCAACGATCGCATGAATATTCAACTCCTATACTCTACTGCACAACTTTTTAAGGATGCAGATTACCAGCGAAAAATTGCGGTGATGATCTTGGGGTGCAAGGGGGGCTTTAATAGTTGTGAAAGAGGTGGTGCGTAGCAAGCATTCGCTGCGCTCTGGCTATGGACATAATGGGAATGACAGGAAGCGGTGATTGGCCAGATGTTGTAGCCCGCGCAGTTCAAACTCATTTTGTGTCCTCCCTCCATGATTAAACCTTCTTCTGCCGGCTCTGCCTCCTGACTGGACGCCAAGAAAAATTGACAAAAATGTTCACACTTGACTTACCATGGCACTGAACAAAAGATGCATTCCCTGGACAGCAGACACACTCATCCACTTTGCATAACTGGCAGGACTTAATAAACTACACTGGGACACAGAGTGAAATCAAGATACACTTAATTTAATATTCATTAGGCTTAAACTGTTTACCAACGAGAGTAAGGGAAATAAAACACACCGAGAGACTGGTTTTTACGGGAAACTTTCTTTACTTGTAAAACAGCATACACAAATCATTCGATAAAAAAGAGGAAAAAAAACAGTTTAAATGTGACAATAAATCAAAGCTGGTATTTACAAGTCAACTCACAAGTACAACTAAAATAGCGACTCGAGTCAGACTCGAGTCCAAGTCACACGACTTTAGTCAACAACTCTGACTTGTATCAGCTACTGCGTTTTTACTCATAAAAATCCCCCCATTGATGTCTGTGAAATAAGCTGATAGACTTGATATCTCAATCATGTTTCATTTCGAAATCAGAGCTCATTAAAACTGTATTTACCAGCAAGAGCTTGCATCTCGCCCAAACCAAAGTGGTCAACCAAATTCTAAATTTGGCAAACTTTGTCGAAACATACGTGCGTTAAAGATTCACACCTGTAAGTTCCAACTTGAAGTTACAGTGCTGCGCAAGTTATGGTGAACGAGTAATTAGCATTTCAAACTGGTACTGAGTTGTTCGTTGATTGTTTACTCCAATTCTAACCAAATACTCATTTAAAAGCGTTTTGGAAACGGACGGTAGGTTATGAATCGCTTGCTTTGGAACATTGTATGGGTAATCTTTGAACAAAATATTGGTACACCAGGGTGGATGTGCATTTTACAGACGAATTTCGTCATATTAATCTATATTTATTGAAACAGTAAATTGAGATAAAATATTAACGCATGCTCAAATGCAAAATGCCATTCGTTTAATCTTTCTTTTACATTTGTGCCGTTTCCTTTACAATTAATGATGAAGAGTACAATATAAATAATGTGTTCCTTTTATTTCAAATTTACCGAAGGTTTCTCTTGAAATTGTGACAAATGGCAAATAATTAATCCCTGCCTTTGAACAATCTTCAATTATAACTTTTACTTACGAATTCTAAATGATCAATCGAGGGAAAACGACGTAGATCAAATTTTGGGGTATTTCCAAGGGCAGAAATTACCTTTGTAAATATTTTCAAGATGTTAAAAAACATTGGTTGCATTTAATTTTACATTAATGGCACTTTAGAAAATCAGCTAAAAGCTCGTTATGACGCTTTGTAACTTGCCAAATGTAGGGCCTACTTTAATTAATTTCATCTTGTTTTACGTCCTTTTGCAAGCTGTTGTTTTAAATTAAGATTTTCGTAAGTGTAACATAAGTGGAATCACATCAGCTCATTTGTACAAGAATATTTCTTATTAGCCCCATTAAAATTTTCTTAAGTGTAACATAACTGGAATCCTGTCACCTCAATTGTAAAGGAATATTTCTTAATAACCCCATTACCTCTTGATGGTTATTGCAATTAGAGAATAAAAGGTCAACTCTCTCGATATCAGCCATTCGTGTTTATTCATTGTATTCACCAATTATTACGATGAGAATGTAAGATTTCCCGACCGTTTACTTCTTGGAACGGACGATAGTTGTCCATCAGTTTAATCTTTGTGAAGTCGTTTACTTCGTTGCCATAGAGGTGGTAGAATACATCCATCTAGTTTCCCAAAAGACAAAGTCAGTTTGTCAGAAAGTGTCAAGCCTCACACAGCCTGTTAAAATGGAGTGTGCAAAATGCTCCACGATTTATTTATTGCTCATAATGTGACCTCGACTAGGCAATTTTGACAGTACTTACATGTACTTACGTACGCAAGATATAAGAAAAAGACTGATACTCCACCTTTGTGCATAGGGTTAGAGATAGGCCCCGCCCCTTCTTGTCAACGGGGTTTGGATAGGCCCCGCCCATTTTCAGTTTGATGCGTATCTTTCCAACACGTTTCTCGTAACTGAGTTTGCAAATGAGGGCCAAAAAATCGATCGCATCATAACAAAAATTCCCTTTTTGTTTGCAACTTTTTAAATGAAATTCCCTGGTTTGATTTTACATAACCTTTGACCTGATCTTTGCTTGGGGAAGCAATATGGCCTGTTCCCACACTGTCCAGATCACGTGTTCATCACAATGCGGTGTTGTAAAGGATCCACGATATCGATAAAACCAGTCAATGTTATCAGGGAGAAAGCCCCTCAGACTCTTCAGTTTTGTGGTAGGAAAGATGTACTAATCTCCCGCCAGACAAATTTCAATCTTTTAATGATGTTAACAAACTCCAGAAAAAATATTTTGTGTCTGTAATACTGAGAACGTAACCATATAAAATCTGATTACCTTTAGAGCCTAGGCTCTGTATCCCACTTATAAATTCATCGAACGAGGATCCATCGAAGTTTGGCTTGAGTCCAACCTGTAAAATGTTAATTTAGATATTTCAGATTTCTCTGTGTTAATTAGTGGGAAATGAGAGTGGTTGTAAAAGTTTAACAACGCATGTCGCGTTGTAATTACCAGCCTGTTATCATGATTTCAACTTTTATTTTTTGGCCGTCATCAACGTGGACTCATTTCAGTCAACCTGGAAACTGCTTGAATAATAAGTGGTTTACAAACGAGCAACAAAATATAATGGACACCACTATATACATTGCACTCTGTTTCACTTTTCTTCAGATGACCTAAAATGAATTCAGTTTACGATTTGTTTACACATATCCTTTCCAATTCGGTGGATTGTGTCCCGTCTCACTGCTGCAGTGTAGGCAAGTGCTCACGTAAAACAAACTTGACCTTCTATGTCAAAGTATTACCTGAACCATAGCCGCAAATACCGCAACACCATCAGTGTGGGTTTTAGCTTCCTTCAAGGACGTGTAGTTGGTGTCATATGTCACAAGATGCATCTGGAAACATTTGTACAATACTGATGTTTATTTCATCTAACAAACACTCCTTCCAAATATGCGTTGGTTTGATAATTAAATGGCAATGTTGCACCGGATATCAAATAACACAGTCGAGCATTACTGGAAGGGCTGCGTAGCACCGTGTCAGAATATCGACGAGAATATAATAAAAAATCAGTACTCTGAAATATGTGATTACCGAGCAATCATCACATATTTCAGAGCACTGATTTGTTATTTCTCGTCAACACAGTCGAGCATGCCGGCTTGCTAGTACTACATGTAATATACTCATATGGACTGACAGTGAGGTCACAAGTGCACGTATGTGCACCCTGAGGGGCTATGAGCGACCAAAAGATGAGGATTCTTCCTGAGGCCGAAGGCCAAGGGAAATAGGAGCCTAATTCTGATCACTCACAGTGGCGACGGGGCCAGACATGGAGACCGAATTATGCCAGTCTACATGTGTTTTTAAGGCTCACTTCCGTCAAAAATGTAAAATAAGAAACTTTTCAAGCATTATAATGAATCAATTAAACTGCTCATTTCTGACTCCTCAGCAATTCACCAACGCGTAGTTTAGGTTTCCTTTGATTCAGCTACTGTTCACTGTTCTCATCGATCATATCAAAGCAATGTAATCAGTCAACATTTGGAGTACAATGCCCTACTGGGCATTGTCTAGCTCTTTCGTAAGTGTGACGTCACTTCTACTACACATTAACCGGTTCGTAAGTGTCACGTCACTTCAGTTTAAACCACACCCACTGCACATGCATTGCACATAGAATTACATGCATTGACCTCCGCTCGCGTTACAAACAAGGAATTCAAAGCCAACGCAATGAAAGAAACTGTGTCTACATTGTTCTCAGTTAAAACTGACTTTTTTATGACGGAAAGTAGTTATTAAATGTAAATCTTTAAGTCAGGTTGTGAACTCAATTTTTTAAGCTGATTAATAAGTGTCTGTTTTAAAAACGGCAGTAAGTTATTTTGGTCGCTCATTTAAAGCTGCGCTCATCATTTTGCTCTCAAAGAAAAGATTCTCACACTTCCGTATGCTTCATATCGGTTTTTAATAAAAATTACTCAAGATATGAATGAATTTTATTTTGTACAATTTTTCCTGAGAGTGTGTAAAATTAAAATCATTTTATTTATGATTTTTCAGTGTTGGCTCATCGAAACCAGACGGAAAAACACATGGACAGTTTGGACATCATATATACTGACAAAACCTATTACATACATGTCCTGGCGGAATTCTCAAAGAATTACACACTGAACAAACCACGACTGAACCGACCCAAGGTGAAAATATTGCTAAAACGGGACCGTAGACAAAAGGTGTAAAAAAAACCTGAATTAAAAGACACAAACAGGTTAATATCATCGCTTTCGAGTGGGTTAGTTAATAAGAAAATGGTCAGTTGTTTCAAGAAATGATATTCTTGCATTTTCTGTTTATTTTGGCTTGTTTTCGAGAGGGAGGCCGAGGGCTTAGCCATCATCCCATAAGAAAAAAATTATGTTGAACAGAAATGCACAGCGTACAGCATCACACTACCCTCCTGGAGCATTTTGTACACAAACAATGCGCAATGTCCTATCCAGTCTATGGAGTACCGAAGTGAGTACGTCACGCACATAATGGGTGCGTTCGATTGGCTTCCCTGAACACACCAGTGTACACGCAAGGGAAGCCTCAAAATGAGGCGAATCAAACGCTGCAGTGTATTCGCCAAGGCATTCTGGGAAAAAGGTCAAGTCCCCGCCACGTTCCATCATGTCCATGCACGGACAGTCCATCCGTGACGTCATTACACTCGGGCAGCCTCCACATACCCGCTCGCCAGCTGGGGTAGTGGTGGCTCACACCATAGCAGGCAGGAAGATCACGTGATGGCTAAACGAACGCTCTCGTGTAAGTTTGACTTACAAGTGTAAGCTAATCGAACGCACCCAAAGTCGATTATAAACGGTTCGTAAGCTAGACGTCACTTCAGTTTAAACCACGCCCACTGCGAACGAGCGCTGCATATAGGGTTACATGAATTGATCAGCGTTCAAATGGAACCATGGAACCGAAAGTTAAAGCGCAACCTCAGTAATCGTCCAATGGAAGCCTGCAAATCGTGGCGCGTCCGCCTTTGTGACGAAGCCCTTACGAACCGGATTTCTATCTAAATGGCGCCCATGCGATAACTCCGTTTTACACGGTGAAGTTATCCATCTTGCGGTGTTGTACGATCTCTTGGCATAACCCTACAGACATAATTTTAAGTATATAAACGCATACGGCAGCTCATTCATATTTTGTGATCCCACGGTTTTTTTTACAACAAGACATGCCATAATCACGAGGGATCATAGAAATATTTCTATAAAACCCGAATTTGGGACTGATGGTTTCCAGTTCGGTTTTTTTTCACAAAAAGCCCCAAATTGCAGGTATATTTTGGATAGAGGCGGGTGGCTACATTCAGAGCTGAGCGCATAGTTTTACTACTATTTTAGGGGTATCTTTGGGAAAAGGCGAATAAAAAAGAAATTCGTGGCTACCCCGGCCCCCATAACATGGAAACAAAAAGTTGTCTGCTGGCCATAATCTTGAATTTCAAGTGAAAAAAAACTGAGGCCAACCTCTTAACGAGAGTCAAAAGGCAGCGGTATTTCGGTCCGGTTTTGCACTATTTTCTATGGGCGTGTATTTGGTCAAGTGCAACCATAGATCGCCGGTCTTGTGCATACGATCTTTGGTAAAACTGTGATTTTGAAAAGTATGCGCAAATAATGAGCAAAGTGCTAGCGATGGATGGTAGCGCGTCCAGTGCGCATTACGCGCAACGCACTTACATTGTCTGTATTTGTTTACATGTGCTCCCATTGCGTTCACCTTTTTTGCTCTTTTGTGCTGCTAACTCTTTTTTCAGATGTTGCAACCGCATTGTTTTGAATTCCTGTGGGCTAGATTAAGTAAATAGAGGGTTTTACAATCGGAACATGGCTTCATAGAATTTTAAGACTGGAATTCTTCAACTATACTTAAATTTCCTATTCTGAGGGGTAGATTTGCCTGTAGTAAGTTAGTCGGGCGCAGCGCAGATCACAAAACCCCCCTGTAGTTTTGGATAGGACCTGGCGGTCTATGCGTTTATTTGTCTGTGACATGACCACACAGGCATAAATTTATGTGTATGGTGACCACGTGTATGCATGCACTGCCGATCTGTCCACAATGAGCTCTCTATTACCTTGTTTCGGCCAACCACGATGGAACCAGCAAGAGGCTGTGATTTTCTATACAAATTCAGGATTTCGGCAAACAGCTACAGGCATTCATCATTCGGCAGATATCATGTACCTACCTCAGCATCATATTTCCGTCCGTTTATGGCATGTTCAGATCCAAGTGCATTAGGGTTACCCCAGTGATAGTGTAGTTGAGCTACTTTGTACTGCTTGCCTGGGAGGCCACCCCCATCGATGAAAAAATCTCCCTCAATATGAAGCTCCACTGTCGTTATATAAAGTTAAAGGGACACTGAAAACTTCTCTGAAACAAAATAATGATCAATGTCGTACACATCAAATATGACATCTCTGCGCAAAGCCAAAAAGTCGACTTCCTACAAGTTTCAGCCCTGGTACGGTTCTTGCTTTATTTTGCCATATGAACAAAAAATAGTAATTACAAACCAAATTTCCAACAATTCCTTTCGTGCATACTTGTTACCAAAGTGACTTTACCCTCGTTTACCGTTTTCAGGGTTTTATTTCTGAGCTCGGTAGTTGAAACGCTGTTTTTAAACCGACCAAACAACATGAGTTGTTCCAGAACTTAAATGAAATACCATAGCAATTATTTATGTATTTATCTCTTTTCATTTTTTTCATATCGTACCGGTGTGACCATTGTTTTCCACGGCCATCGAAACATCTCCCGGCCTGTCATTACTAGAGAAGCCTTGGAGGTTTAAGAAGTCAAAATTAACTTCCTTTGCTTGTTTGGTGTCAATGTTGATCGGTGATTGATGTTAACCAGAGCAGTTATCAGGGAACATGGTCATCCAGTTAAACGGGCTTTTCATGGAAATATCAAAATGAAATCTCTCGGTTTGGTGTGTTCTTTACTTGTTGAAAAAGCAAAGCAACATAGGCACTTGCTGTCTGCACAACTTCTACCATGCTGTTAAATGTGAAAGGGACTAGACGTGGCTGCAAATCATTTTTTACATGTCAAGATCAAGTAACAAGTGATTATTTTGTATATCAGCGTCAAGTCGAAATTAATTTGGTCCAAACACAAGGCAAGTCATTAGTCTCTTTGTCTAAATATAGTGTCAATATGCATATTGGTTTGTCCAATGTAATGGGCAAACAGGGAAAGGCATCAACAAGTTTTGGACTTATGCACTTTATTCATTGTATTCGCTTTATTGTTTAATTTCCACGTAAACTATATACCGTCAGGCAGACATGACAGCAAGTCCTATTTTGCAAGTTTAAGTTAAGCCACAAGGTGGCAGTTAAACGTGAAGTCACAATTAAATCACAAAATAGTGTTTTGAGTCGGACACGAATCCAAGTCCCATAACTCGAACCAACAACTCTGGCAGGAATTGACATCGTAATCTTTTCCACAAATTCGTCAAATGGCTTAGACTGTTAAATTGCTAGATCGATTAATTTCCATCTCAAGAATTTTGAACATTCGGAAAATCATTCTGGCTCGACAGATTTGCCTTTCTATTCATATTTTGTGTTTTCTTTCTTCGTTAATTTGTTGTTGTTTACTTTTGTTCTTGTTTTGTTTGTCTATGCAGCGTGATCAGGCTGTTATTAGTCTTACCACCAGATCCTCCTCCGTAACTCCATTCCAGCTCACCTGTAAATCAGCCAGAGCACAAATCATGAATTTATGGAAAGCTGTTGAGATTTAAAAAAACTTCTGCTATAAGTAGGCCTCATTGAATGAAACGGAAATTCAAATTTGGTCTTTAAATGTAATATTTACGGATTTAGTTTGCCAAACTAACAATATGCTAATTGATTTTAAACAGCAGCATTTTACCACCAGGACTGTAAACCCAGCCAGCCGCATCTGTAACAAAAAAAAAACCAATACATGGATGTAACTTGAATGCATTACGGTCGTTGATGTAAAGACCACCTTGAATTTTATTGGTATTTGTGTCACTAGGCCTGCATTACATTGTCTCACTGAATGTTAATACAGTGGTGCATTAGTGTAGTGCCATATGCCTATTTGAATGAAATTTTGAAGGTATGTCTTGTATAAGGCAGTATGGGTAAAAAACACCAGTCTAAGTAATCAGCAATAAAGGAGGGTATATTGAATATAAAGCTGTTAACATTTCAAATCATGTTTTACTAAGATAATAATGTTACACATTGAAAATAAGCATACGTTGCCATGATTGACTGGTTTAAGTTTGGTTTTTCTTCAGGTTAATGCATTTTGTATAGGTGGTCCTAAACTTTTGCAAATGACAGTTTATACATGTACACATACATGTAGGTAATAAACACCATAATAAGATATTGCAATTTTATGACATCGCACATGTATATATCAATAAATCAATTGTGACTTCGTCCACAGAGGAGCCTTAAAGTTCGCATATTTCACAAACTGCAGGGTCTTTCAACTTGCTGTTTCTAATGAATGCGTCAGTTATGGTGACAAAACACTCACATGCCCGTAATGTAAGGTGCATTTGCATTTGGGCAAGTCGCAACATTATACAACGCTTGCGTTTCCCCTCTTTCTGAGCGTAATAGCACTTCATGCTAAACTCATGGCTTTAGCCTAGCCATGGCCATCACAATGGCTGCTTCCTCCTCAAAAGGTTTTTACAAATGTGACATTTTGAACTCACAGACACACGGCAAGATTACAAGGAAGCATGGCAAAAAACGTAGTACTATCACTGTCAACAGTTGCTGGACCTGATAGGAAATGAAAATCAAAAAGTACAATTAAAAGTACAGTTACACTGGCGTATTTCCCGTCTCTGTGATCTGCATTACTGCTTCTTACGCTGCTAAATTGGGCTTGAATATCACAAGTGAATTCTCTTCAAATAAAAGTAGTTCCACAAGTAAGGGATTTTGAAATTTGTCAAACTTGATAACAAGACGTTTTGCAAAAAAGTGTTTTCAAAACTCACCGTTTACAGAGCGATGTGTAAGCCTATACAAGTATCTGTGTATAGCCAGATGGCAAAACTTTGCTGTGTGACTTTGGAGATGAGAACCGGTACTAATTCTCGTGTAATTGTATCCCTCCTTTATGACACAGGAATAATACGCTCGTTTACTCTTCTGCAAAATGTATATCGGGGATGAAATTATGCAAATAAGATATTCTGGTTAGTCGAGGCAAATATGGTTGTCTTTACACAAAGTTCATCATCGTCTGTTGGTTATTATTGGTAAATTCATATTACACAATACAAGTAATATGCTGGTGCAAATGTGACTGATATTCTTACATCACTATTGTACTGTATCAGTGAAGGAGCATTGCAATGTATCAGTTATTTTGGCCAGGTATCGTACAATTTGCAGTAACATGAAGAAAAGTCAACTATTTACATAACAGCCTACTGACTGCCATTGATGATTGTGGATAGACCAGATAATAAAAGAAAACCGTTAAGCAGTAATTTCTTTGTTTAGTCGTAATGTGATATACAGGCAACAATGATCTGCCGAATGCCCAGAACTATTGTAGCGGAAAGTGTACGAACTTTCATAATTTTTGTTGTGCATAATAATGAGACTAGACAAGTGTAGCAGTGTGTACATGTCCTGTGACGTAAACAGGATGGGCGGGGCGCAGCGCTCTGTGTAGGTACATGCTCATGTAGTAAGCTCTTTGGTTTGGGCGTGTTCAAGGCGAGCGCGTAAGTGGGCGGAGCTTGTTTTTGTTAGGGTTTCTGCTAGTTCAGCGAAGCTGTATAAACGTGAGTTCTTGTTGCTCTCGCTGTGGTGTGGAATTCCATATCTGCCGTCGTGCGTCGTCCGTTTTTTTTGTTTTTTTGTTTTTTTTTGTCTTGATTGCTTTTTTTTGTCTTGATTGCGCATTGGTATTTTTAACTTTGACCCTTGATCGTTTCACATGTCCATGTACTTGTTCGATCGATCCATCGTGCCCGACTCTCATTTTAGCTGTAGAACTAGAAGATGTATTCGTTTTTGCAGTTGCGCCGAACTCCACTTGAAAGAAAAAATAATACTCTTTCATTTTTAAAGACTGACTTCGGTAAAGTGACGTGTATATGAAATAATGCCATTTTGTTACATCGATAACTTACTTACTCTAGACGTAACTGTATTCGTTAACGGCCTGACGTTAGGTCTATAGCCTATGTAATATTTCTGTCTGTCTCTGCACGATATCCCACAGAACTGAATGTAAATAATAAATTATTTACAATGCGTGATTCCTTAATAGTTTTCATAATAGACGAACTGATTCAACATTATTTTGAGGGCGGGTATACTTATGATGAAATCTGCTGTATACTCCAAATTAGACATGACTTGAGTTGCAGGTAGGCTCACAGAAGTCTTTTAAACAGTAACGTTACTTATTAGCTCCATAAATAATGCTGATGTGCTGGACAACCTGTTCTCATTGGTCTATCCACCATGGCATACACACCCACAGAAACCAACACGTCACATTTTCTGAAACTTAAACCAACTGGTAATTACCCCCTAACAATACATTTAATAACAGTTTGTTATCCACAGCACTGACTAGTATTTCGGGATTTCGAGGTGAAATTGAGAGGACAAAATGGAATATCTGTATCGGTTGGCAGATTTCTTTCTGGAATTTGATGAAAACAAGTCGGCACATTTTTACAGTATGCAAATTAGAATAAGACTGAGGATAAGTTGGCCTGAACATTTTTGCTGAAAATGTTTTTCCCCAAAAACACTTGGTTGAATTCTCATAAAGGCGATATTTTCTTGTCAAAGGGCAGGGGTAGTCTAGCATTATTGGCATTAATAATGGGACTAATAATACTTCCTTTCGCAGATATACCCCTAACTACTTGCAAATATGGATATGAAACTTATATGCATAAATAGAGCAACATGTGCCCTTTCAGATGACACCAAGATTGCAAGATGTAGATAATTAGGCCTATGCTTTGCAGGTGGGATTTGTACTTGCCTATTAGGAAAAGATCCTTAAAAGTGAATGGAATCATCACATTCAATGTTAAATCCCGGCTTTTGTAGGCCCTAGTATGCAACCCATTTGATGGACGACGCACGACGGGCGACGCGCGACGCACGACGGACGACGCACGACAGGCGACGGAAAATGGTATGTTTGGAACTGGTAAATGGCAGAATTGGGACACAACAAAAAGCAAAAGGCGACGGACCACGGACGACGGCAGATAAGGAATTCCATACTGTGGCGCGTGTTAACGTTGTGAATGCTGCTATATGCTAGGGGCGGGCAGACTGTCTCCGTGTAGCCTTGTACACGTTGTACAGTGTAGCCGTTCACTTGCATGTGCAGATTTGGGCTGGGCCCACGGTGCTGTGGTGCTGTGGTGCTGTGGTGCTTAGTGTATGCGGGCCGTATCGCTATAGTGACATTGGGCTATGCGATGTTGTTTAGGCAGTGCGCCATTGAGATGTGCAGTGCGACTTGGGTCCAGCTTTGGTAATTGGTCTCGTGTTGGCAACGTTAGACATGCATTGCTGATAACGTTCATGTGGTGCGGCATTGTTTTGTGCATTGCATGTAGGAGTTGCGCGAGGCGACAGTAGTCCGTGCGTTGCTGATTGGCGCGACGCAGTGCGACAACTGTGTATTGCTAATAGCCTCTCCTCAAGACCACGCAAAACAAAAGAGGTTGTAATAAAGCTTAACCAATACGGATTATCCCTAATCACTTGATCAATTAATTATTTGTTTAATGTCTGAATAAATCACATTGTTGTTGAGATTACCGGCAATCTAATTGTCAGGTGTCCATCTTGTTGTGTATTGTTTAATTGGCAGAGATCATCACAATCATCATAATCGGCGATATATTTCCACCAAAACGGATCTGCTCCCTTAGCCTTTAGGTCGCTTTGAGCGATCTCTGCACCGAGGAGGAACCGAGTTTAGGTTAGAGTCGAGACCCCAACCGGTTGCAGACTTGACCCTCAAACTTAGGTTAGGCCCGGGGAAAACAATCACACCGCCACACTATTTTCGGGCAACTTGCACTTGAAGATCGCATGAGGCGCAGTGAAGTGCAATACTGGGTTTCGCACATAAACCGCACTTCTGTTGCACTCTAATACAACATACCGCACACTGAGGTGCATAAGTCAGTGGCGAAGCCATCAAAAATTCATTACAATCTGCTTTAGTTATTTTTTCTTACCACAAAAATGGGGAAGGGGGTGATATATACCACATCCCATCAGAATTTACGCCCATTACATTAGTGCACTAAATATGAAACGTCTCTATTCCCAAATTTAATGAAAACTGTAATACCAGCATCTGATTATCCAAATTCTCACTGAATCCCTTTGTGGACGCGTTTGACTGTTTTTAGGAGTTGAATTTTGCGGATTGGAGGTATGACAATATACAAAGCATTTTTAAGTGACATCGACAAATGACATCAGTGACAAATGTTAGAGAAAAACCAGTTGGTAACTTGTCAAAATTGGACTTGCACCAGACCTACCAATGGTATTCCAAGCATATCGTTGAAACAGTATTGAATCGAAGAAACCTCGTTCGACATTGTGTTAATCAGCAAAGTGCGGTGCCAAATTATTGCCAACCGTAGTCCCCGAGGTTACGTAAACTAGATTTAGTCGCACCTGCATTTTCATAAGTTCACTTGGTTAACTGCCTAAGCTTTTTAATTATCCATCCAAATCAAAATCACCACTCAAAAAGTAAACGTTCATAAAGACGGGGAGCAGCCTTTTTTTGAAACGGAGAGTGACAATGAATCCACACGCAATCCTGCGAACATATCGAATCAAATTTCACCCCCCCGGGGGGGTTGCACGGAACCTATGACTGAACTAATTCAAGCTCCATTGTATCATTCTTTTATTTTTTATGTTGCATCTTATTTGAGGTTAGGTGGCACGATAAGACTTACATTTGCGCTATAACTTGCTAAGGTAGGTCAGGTAGCAAAAAAAACGGCCGAAGCCTTAGAGACGGAGCCCACGAAGTAGAGTATTTCAGGGTGGCCTAGCGTGTACAATCTGCGGTTGCGAGATAGCGTCAAGAGGGCGCTATTAACAGTTGCATCAATCCTATGTGAGTTCAGACTACTAATTCAGAGTTTCTGGCAGCTCATTACAATTAAAAGTGCCCCCCCCCCTTCCACAGTATCTTTTGAAAAAGGAGATTGTTTGGCCCCAAAATGGTGAGATTGTGTAAATCCTTGCCAGGATCAACTCCCTGGGTCTTTGAGCTTTCATATGAGAGCAGAATGGCTAAAACACTACGGTTGAAAAATGGTCCTAAGTGCTCGAGAAAGTTGAGGGCTGCCACTTGAAAAATGGCTGCAATCAGACTTCGGAAAAATTGCTTTTTTGGGGGGGGGTGATTTTGTTTTGTGAGAAAAAATTAAAAA